GCTTTCATAAGAGTGATCGTTGATGTAATTATCTTGAGGGGTTGTCGAGAAATCCACCAAAAACTGAAAAGACTGAAAAAGCAACGTCGTTTCTCTGTTTTTTCAACTTCTACAACTCATAGCAGGCGACTCGATAACATTACCAAGATGCCAATAAACTGAAAAAAAAACGTCGTTTCTCTGTTTTTTCAATTTCTACAACTCATAGCAGGCAAGTCGGATGCAATAGGCTCGTTGGAAAGGTGAGACATTCAGCTTTCTTACGAGTGGTCGATGAAAACGTTCTACAACTCATAGCAGGCGACTCGATGACATCACAAAGATGCCAATAGGCTCGTTGGAAAGGTGAGACATTCAGCTTTCTTACGAGTGGTCGATGATGTAATTATCTTGAGGGGTTGTCGAGAAATCCACCAAAAACTGAAAAGACTGAAAAAGCAACGTCGTTTCTCTGTTTTTTCAATTTCTACAATTCATAGCAGGCGACTCGATGATATCACAAAGATGCTGAACAAACCACAATGCAGGCAATGTTTCCCTTTAATTTGTGTATTTGATGGTTTAATCAATGATAATGATTATTTAAGTAGGATCAGCAAATTGAAAAAAATAGTTGAAATAAATGGTTATATTCATATATATTTGAAAATTTTAATTTACTGTTAAAGTTCTAAAGAATACTTCTTTCGGTTTTGCAGTAAATTGAAAAAAATAGTTGAAATAAATGGTTATATTCATATATATTTGAAACTTTTAATTTACTCTTTTAAAAAATATTTCTTTCGCTTTCGTTTGCTTTAAAATAAATTAGTTTCTGCGAATTAATAAGAAAGTTATTATGCTTTAATTAGTTAGCGGTTTTCGCGATTCAAAAACATTAGTCGGAGTTTAGAAGAAACAGTCTGCAACCGCACATACGCCTGCTGAAGACAATTTCCTGCAAATTCCGGCAGATGTCGCTAATTCTCTTAATTAAAATGCTTATAATTCGTAATGTAATTAGTATTTTAATTATTAGACTAAAGTAATAAGATTACAATTGTTCTAGCACTATTTTGATATGTTTGTTTATTTAAATTAGAGCGTTTTTAAGGAAGTGGATTTTGTGCAGCGCCAAAATGCCTGAACTGTAATCTTTGAAGTATTGCTAACAGATGGCGCCAGTTGTCACTAAAAATGGGATATTTATGTTTCGCCTAAAGTGCAGGCAACCAAACATACATATACAATTTATTGAACAAATAGGAAAACAACGTCTTATATAATGGCCTGTATTTTCGTAAGCATGAGCTTCCAGAAGAATGTTATACATGGATGTTGATCTTGAATATACACAGTTGAAATTAAAAGTAAATATACATTTGTAACTGCAATGGTGTCTTCATAATTGATTAACAAACTTTGCTATTTCACAAATGAGATGGAAAATTAACGTTAAATAGAAGAAGGAAGTAATGGAACATGTTGTTCATTTAGTTTGCATTCAGAACAATGTAGAATAAACAGGAAATTTAATAAAGTCTTTTAAATTTAACTTGAGCCAGTTCGTTCACTCACACAAACGTAAAATTCAAAATTTCAAATTCCAACCAATCAGGAACGAGCGATGCTCGGAGCTCAGATACCTCCTCGCTACTCCTGTGCTCCTGGTGCAATTCCAAATTTTCTGGCATTTTCGAGAAACAAGTGGGGGAGGACTTGCGTTTTGATTTGCGAAAACCGCCAACGCATTAAAGCTTAATAACTTTCTTATTAATTGACCAAAACTAACGTATTTTATAGCAAACGAAAGCTAAAGAATTATTATTTAATACAATAAATTAAAATGTTCTAATATACATGAATATAACCATTTATTTAACTGATTTTTCAATTTGTTGCAATACCTTCACGTTTTTTTAAATTAATCGATTACCACTCGTGCTAATTAAACCATCGAATACGCAAATTAAAGAGAAAACTACAACCTTTCCAATGAGCTAACTGCAGGCATTGTGGTTTGGTCAGTACATTTACTATAAGTTATCAAAATCAAGTATTTTAATTCAATTCTCAATCCAAATAATTAACTAATGAAAAATATATTATTTAGCATCGATTTACTCAAATTGATTGAAATAAAACAAATAATGTGGATTATCATTAACTTTATTTAATTATATGTTAAATAAATAACACACAAACATCATAGGTTCATCCTCGTTGTGTTAATAATCAAACAATGAAAATCAAAAATGAGTTTAGGGTTTTTGTAAATGGAATGCAAAATAATTAGACGACAATTTTTATTGAATTAAAGAAAAAAAAAAACAAAGAAAATAAAATAATTTGTACACTATTATACAGATATACATTTACTATATTTATTAAAATATATTACATGTAATGATATAGTAATAATTTGTAATATCTCGCGACAACATTTCTTAACTTGAACGTATATATATAAAAAAAAGAGAAGAAGAAAATAACTAAAAAGAAAATAGAAACGAAGAAGAAGCACAGTATTCCAATACGGCGCGCGTTTCGAAACCAAAGATAGAAAAAAACAAAGAAACAAAACAGAAGAACATCGATCGATCAATGAATAAGAACAATATACAATTTTATAATTTGCTTTGTACAGAATTGAAATAATAATAATCGAAATACAAAATTAAAAAAAATAATAATATCAGTTTCGTGTGTTGTGTTTTCTTCTTTTATAATTCCATTCAGTTAGAATTAAGACGTAACAATATTAGAATAATGTACTTGTTCAAAAAAATGCGGAAAACGAAAAAATAATAATTATTATTATAATATTTTGGCGACTAGTTTAATCACATTACCTAAAAATAACATTCCAAATAATATATATATATATATAAAATTAAAAAAAAATTGAAATATGAGAAGAGATAATATGAAACAAAAATGAAATATATAATATTTGGTACATATTTGAAATAATTGATATTAATTATTATTATAATATAATAAGAGTGGAAGCAATAAATATTATCAGCGAAACGGTAGCATCTTAACACAAACATCTCATATTTAGTAAATGTATTGTTTTTGTTGCAAGAAGTAGGTTCGAAGCCATATGAACAATTCATACAATTACAATTTTTGTTTCTGTTTTTTTATATATATATATATTTATATATCCTATCCTATTACATGTTCAATTCAAATATATATTCTTATATTCAAATAATGTATACACATTTTATACTATATATATATACGATTTTTTTTCATTTTTTCTTTATATATATATATAAAATATTAAATTAATTAAAAAATAATGATAATAAACACTTATCGATATTAAAATACTGTTTTTGCATTTCTAATACACGCAATTTCACAACGATTAAAAATGGGAGAATTGTCAGATATATATAGATAGAGAGATTGATTAAAAAGAGAGTATGAGGGAGGGACATGGGGTTGTTTGGAGAGTTGAAGAGAGAAAATTAATAAATAACATTATTTTTTTGCTTTCTTGGAATGATTTGTTCAATATCGTCGTTTCGCAACGCGCTCCTCAGAGTTATATGCAAAGTGGTCAACAACAACAAAATAAGAGATTGTTGGGGTGGAGGCCAAAAAAAAATAATAATTAGAAAATCGCAATCGATTCGTGATTGTGAAGATGCGAGAGTTTTGAGGGAGGTTGTCGTAATATTTAGTATAATTTAGAAATGATTAGGTAAATATTATAATGGCTTCGCAATAGATAGTTGATAAAGAAGGTGGTTTAAAAAGAAAACGTTTCTTCCTTCCATTTCACCCATCCAAAGCAACGACTGCACACGCATATTTATATATATATTTGTTTTGTTGAAGATATATAAATCTCTTGCGAGCGAGCGCTTGTTTATATATACATAATAATAAATAATAATCAGGTACATAAGTATGGGGCTAAATTCGCCTCTCGTCGTTCAATCATGTTTTCCTTTCCTCGTGGATGTTGTTCGTTCGTTCGTGTGCAAATTGGTCTACGTTTCTTTTTGAAAGGAATTAGCCCCGATACCGGTTGTACAACAGCAACAATGTATGTATTTATTATGAATTAGAAAAGAAAAAGGGGGTGTGTGAATGAGTGAGTGTGTGTGTGTGTTTACGCGCGAGTATGTATTGTATGGTGTGGATATCCTCGTTACGACAGTAGTGAGTATTATTACATATTTTTTCTTTTGTTTTCTCGAATAACAAACACCAATCATATTAAAAAAAACACCTACCGAATCAAACATCCCTTCTTTTTTCTTTCCATTATGTTTCATCCTTTCAATCAATATTTTGGATGTCAATTTTCATTTTCAAAATTGAACTCCAATCGGCTCCAAACGCAAATAAAATATATCGATGACACGACCACGACGACGTCACGTTTTTAAACTGCAGAAACCTGCGTTTCCTCATCATCTACAACATACGAAACAGAACGAAATCAGTATATTAAATCAAAAGGCATCCTTTCATTGCTCCTCCAACAAATAGCGTGATTCCTCCCATACATATATGTTTGCCATCAACACGTATCAAATGTTAAACACAGTAATTAGTCTTTGGTTTTAAGTCGTGCGTCAGCAATGAAAGGATTCGTGTGGAAAGCGTGTGTGTGTCTGTATGTATTAAGATTTTGGTTAGTCTTAACAGAGTGAGTGAGTGGGAATTGCAGTATTCTGTATTCGGAACGTACTCGAGTTGAGAGTCCAAAATCTTTCAAGTCGCAGTCAAAGTCAAACCATTATTATAACAGTGTCATAGTCGGCTGTGGAGGAATAACTGGATACGTCTGTCAGGTCGTTACCTAAAGTCAAAGTACGTTCATGTCGGATGCTCTTAACGAGATTTACAGCCTAATACGCGATACGATCAAATTCTTACGAAAGCGATGGAAAATCGCGTATTCGACGCTGTAGTCAATAATATGTTTTAGAGAATTATATGATTTGTAGAAAACTGTTTAGTTGTGATTGTTAATGGACGTACCGTGGTCAATGTCACGGTCGGCGGCGTATTGGTAACCTTTGGTAACGCCTTCGTGAGAGTGCGCCCTTCCCAACCTCTGCATGCGTGCCATCTCTGCGGCCATCGTGTAATTCGGGGGCAATCGACGACCACCTACAAACGGCCACCACGGAAACAAACATTTATTTTATACATACATACAAATATATATATATACTTATTGATAAGAAGTTAAGAAAGAAAGTAAAACAAACAGCCTGAAGAAGGTGTACGTGTTGATGTTATTGAACAGATCCGTTGGGTCACTTGAGAAGCGCATCGCTCATTGGTGGCAAGAGCGGGGTCGTTCTCGTGTGACCTGAAATGTGATTGGCTTTTGTGAGCGTGTTTTGTAAATGTGTTTCAAATTCTTTCGTAGAGCAGTAGTAGTAGTAGTAGTGAAGAAGAAGCGTGAGCAGGGCTAACAATATCCATGCGACACCGTAAGCGAGTCCTGTTTGTTAATGTTGTTGTTACTTACCGTTGTTACCATTGCGGAAAGCTTGAGGCAAAGGGGGCAAAACGGCGACAGCATGAGGACAAGGGGGCATAGAACCGACGCGTGCGGGACACCAGCCTAACACACCAAACACCAAAACACGTGATACAAAAAAAAAACAAAACAAAACAAGAGTGGCATATGTTGAAGTTGATCATCAGCCAACTGCGATGACAACAACAACATAACAGATAGAGACATATGTACATGGAGAGACAAAAAACATTGAAAATGTAATGAAATATTTATATATATAAGTGTGCAATATATTATAATAAATGTAAAAGTATATAAGCGACATGCAAACTGTGAATGTATAAACCAAATTGAGTAAATGAATTATAATAACGAAATGAAAGGGTGGGGGAGGGTGGTAATTGAGAAGAAATAAAATAAGAGTGTGTAATAATTACGTACCAGTCATCTGGGAGAGATGTCTCGTGGGGCTAGGGCAACGTGGTGGAAAATGGGGCGCGTCGCTGGAGCTGTTGGTGCTGTGACCAGAATCGGAAGATGCCACCGACCCTACAGATATATAGTATATAGATAGTAAAAAAATCATGCTTCATGCCTTCGCATCGGAAAGAGAGACAAACAAAAATAAAAAGAGGGGGAGACCCAAAGTGGTGCTATATAAATGGGTGATGATGATTGATGAAGAATGGTTTGTTTTGGGAATAAGATAACTTACCGGACGTGTGCGTCTTTCGCAAGGGATTACTAAGCGACGTGACACTGCTGCTCTCTGCGGACAAGGCAACAGAAGGTAAGGGGGTTGGGGTGTCTGAGTGAGACCTCTCATGCATTGCGCGACCGCCGCCGCCACAGCTTATAGAACTATGCGATCCGTAACTAGAATAACTGCCTGCAAGGTAAAAACAAAGTAGCCAAATCCATACTATCCAGTCAAAGCACAGCAAATCCATACTCATTCACTCACTCACTGAAAAAAGATTTGATGTATCATAATCCAGTTGAGCAAAGAGTAAAGTTAAATAATAAAAATGAAAACAGGTAAAGTCGTCGTAAAGGCGATGACGATGATTAGGAGAAGAGAGGCACTACTAACCTGTGGCGCTTGGGGCCCGCCGCACGGCGGGACTACTCTGTGCATTGAGTATCGAGCCATGCATTTGCCTCGGCTGATGGGGTCGAGTCTTTGCGGTTTCTGAGAGAGATAAAAGTTTCTTTACAGCTTGTGGGGATGCAGAACCTAATAATACATACACACACATTACAACAACAATTAACGGTTGCGGAATAATAATAATAAGAAAGCGGCGGCGAGCGAGACTAAGCTATATCGTACACTGCGTTGTTTATTTTTTTTTTTTGGTTGTCGAGAGAATTACTTACCGAATTTGGGGATGGGCTTTCGCTCATCGCTTGCACTGCTCGTGCTGCTTGTGGTCGATGGTGCCGGGGAGGCATGTCTGTGCCTCCTCTGGCCACCCTGACCGGCGATCGTGTTACCGCTCGCCGGTTCGCACTCCAAAGACATCTCGTGCAGTCGCACCTCATTGGTGACGACCTGCAGATTGTTTAGGTACGTCTTAACCCGTCTCACCATTTGAGACTCTTCGAACATCTTCTTGGGATTCGGCGCTGCGGCAGACTTTTTCCTTCGCTTCACAGTTGCTTGTCCTAAAATCGAGAACAAATTAATCTGCTGCTACTGTTGCTCTTCATTTCAATGAACGCATCGCATTATCGATACAATACTTTTATCATTAATTACCTTGGGGATGGTGCTGCGACGATTGCGTTGTCATCTGGTTGAGAGCGATCATCGCCGTGCTCGTGGGTTGACCTCCCAACTCGAGCATCGTCAGCAGATCGTACGGACTGCTGCACATGTTGCTCAAACTGCGCACCTCTTTTGCAATCATCCGCAACTTCTCGAAGTTCACCAGACCTTCCACTTTACTATCATTACCCAGATGTATGAACGTCAAATCCTTTTTCACCACCGGATAAAATGGAATCTGCAAACAAATATTGGGCAATTCAATATGACCTATCCAATTTATAATTTTGATTTAAACTTACGATCGGCGGTTGGTTCTGTTCTGCGCTCACCAGCTGCCTGTATTTGCTCATGTTTCTAGATGGGTCCATGAGCTGCTGCAGATCTGAAAAGATCCTTTGGTACTTTGATGGTAGTTTCTCCCAGCTCTGACGCAGTCTCGAGACGGCGCCGTGGCCGAGACCGCTGATGATGGCGAACATAGAGTTGAAGTTCTTGCACTCCTTGCATTGCCTTGCCACCTTTACGAACTGCTTGATGATCTTCATCCTTCGCACCGGGTTGTGTTCGTTGCACACCTCTGTGACCACCCAAAACATTTCCCTGTTCACCAGAGCCGCAAACTGTTCCAGCATGGGCGTACCGTATCGCGATTTGAGATCGAACAAATCGTCGATGTACTCTGTAGGTTCGATCTGTCTGAAGATGCTGAAATCCTGTAAGAGAAGTGAATATATTTAGTTTTTTCTTCTTAAATTTCGTTTTCATATATTTCATACCTGTAGGGTGAGTTGTATTGCAACCTCGACGGCGTTCAACTGCAGGAAGTGTACGGCGCTCTCTCGCACCAGTTCAGGGGCGAGATCATCGGGTACGAGGGTCTCGCTGATGCCGTTGGTCTTCAGGTAGTATCGACTGCTGAGGCCGATTCGTTCGGCAAGGTTCTGCAGCTGATCGGGAAGTCGTCGCTGCTTGATGGTCTGCGTGTCCGTGACGGACACCTCGCAGAGGCTGAAATTGCTACTGGGATCTGTCATGCCGAACTCTTGCAGGGCCAACATGACCACTTCATGCGCCGTCGTCTCTTTGTGTATCAACAGATATTTATAGGTTTGGTCTGGTTTGAATACTTTCAACACATGCTCTGGGAAGTCGGTGCACCGTTGATCGTCATAGCAGATCGACATTAGGTCGGGGTTGCTTTGCGAGTGGAACAAGTTCGTGCTTAGTGTTGTTGCGCTATTGAAGTTATCCACTTGATCGGAACCAACACTAAAATGTAAAATGAAGTGTTGAAATAAAGGGGTCGTCTCTTGTCTCTTATTGGAAGGGTTTGTCGATTAGGAGGAGATTGATTGTTTTTGGTTGGGTTTAATTAAACTATTAACTCACTTGATGATGGTTTTCGGTAAAAAGTTCATCTTCATCAGGGCCTTCTGTATCCGCTTCTTCGGTCCAAGTGTCATGAAGCTCTGTTTCTTGCTCTCCTTCTGCGGACTGTTGATCGTAACAGGCTGAGAGCAGGGGGATTCAGTGTTCAGGATCATGTGGCCGTCAATGCTGCTCAACCTGGCCCTCGGATCAGGCTGCAATTTGGAAATTTCCGACGTCTTGCGCGGCCTCGGCGAATTGTCCGGCGTGTTGAGCATCTCTTTGAAGTGCAGCAGATTCGATTTGACGGTGATGCTTAAATGCGTCGTCCCGCAGAGGATTTCCAGAGCCCTGGACTTTGCGACGTGCTCGAAGCTCTGACCGTTCACTTCCAAGATCTGATCGCCGCGTTTCAGTCCGACATCCTCGGCTTTCGTCTTCTTGTCCACTTTCAATATGAAAATGCCAAAGTTCCTCTCGTACCCGCCCATTATCTGGAAGTTCAATGGTTCGTCCCGACTGGATCTTGCAAGAACTACGGTCCTGATGCGCGCCTTCGCAGCACAGGCAATGTTCAACAATCGTAGCTGTCCGTTCATCTTCTCGTTCTCCAATCCTTGTTCGAATGTCTCCAAGAACTCGATCATCTCTGGGTCCGTCTCGAAGTCCGTGAAGTGGTTGTTCACCCACAGCAACACCACTCTGGTTACTCTGTCCCTGATTTCCATGTTTTTGAACCAGTCCAAGAGTTGCCCGGCGACGTGCAGCGGGCTCTTGATGAACGTTCGATGCGTGAGCAAAAAGTCTTCCACGTACGTGGGGTCCGTCAAACCGTTGTCCTCGATCAGTTGTTGCATCAGTTGATCCGGGGTGGCTCTGATAACTACGTGACCTCTTCTGTTACTTTGCGAATCTAATGTCCCCCTGAGCTCGGTCACCATTACCAGTTGACCATCCACTTCGTGTCGTCGCGTATTTTCTTCGCCTTGATGTAATATCCTAAAATACATTAAAATCGATTAGTTTATTAAATAAGAAAGAGAAATATGTATAGTACCTATAGTAATCTGATTGCGTTATGCAGACGAACTGACAATCGTCGCATTTGGTGCGCATCACACCTTTGTGGTAGAGTTTGTCCATGGTTGGAAGGATACCGAATGAGTCTCCTGTGACAAGATTCTGTGGCTCCTCATTTTGAAGCTGCACCTCGACGACGCCGTTGACCAGCACCGACCACGAGTCCAACTCTTCGCCGTCGTTCATCACGATCGTTCCCGACTTCTCGACGACGGCGAAGACCATCACGGCGCAGAGGGCCCGGCGGACCGCAAGCGTCATATTGGTGAAAGCCTTGAAATGCTGCGTGAATTCAAGCAGAGCCTCGATGTCCTCCTCGGAGCGTTCCATCGGGTCCTTCTCTAGACAATCGCGCACCCTGTCGCGTACGTTCAGACTGTCCATGCTCTCGGCCAGGTCGTCATCTTCGTCGCTGTCCACGGTGCTCTCCATCAGACCGGACAGATCTGGTTCTTCACCTTCCATCTCCGAGTGCGAGGCCATTGTGTCGGACCCGCTGTACGCGGAGCTCGTGTCCGAGGAGTGCGATCCTCTGCTGTACTTTGAGTACAGACCGGCGGGTCTGTGACCCTGCTGCGGCATGTACCCGTCCTCCACCATATTCATGTACGATTTAATATTGGGATCCATGTGCGATGTATTCGACTGCCTAATACTCAATAAACTCGATGAGCTTGAGTGTTCTATTTCTGGATAATCGATCTGCAACACACAAAAAAACAACAACAACAAATTAAAACATTTTCTTAAAACAACAATAATTAAACAAATCAATCGAAATCTAATTTATTTCAATTAAATTGTGTTAAATTATAAAATTAATATTGTATAAAAGTTTTAAAATACCGCAAAACCTCAGATTACAAATGGAATCATATCATATCTAAATTTATGCGGACGAACGTAACCGTGGATTGATAGTAAATGTTCACGGTTTAAGGTGCATAAAGTTTGTAGTAAAATATAGAAATGTTGATTTAAGTTAGGAAAGAAACGAGAATAAACCTCTGGCTCGATGGCTGAACTGGGCCAGGAGAGTGATTGCAGTCTCCCCCTTTGTTTGCGATAGACCACATCGACGGTGTGGTGTCCGAAGACTGTGTCCGGTCTCAGCTTCAGCTTGCCCAAGGTGCTTCTTCGCCGATGCACCAAAGGTCTCTCATTGAGCACGGCCGTATGGCACACGTGCTTCAACATTGTCGCGTCTTTTCGAATAGTTCCCTCCGGTTGTGTCACTCAAACTTCTGCACTGACGGACGAGGAGAGGAAGGAGCGAACGCGCGATCACCAACAGTTGCAAGGGAACATCACGACTGCTGTTGCTGCCGATGCGGCGGAGGAGGATGAAGAGGAGGAATCGGAGGACGATGAAGATGAAGAAGAGAAGGATGAGGAGAGACGGCGGTAGGACAGTAGCCACATGGCCGGTGAAGCGAGAGTAAACACGGGATGCGCGCTCTTTGAGAGGATGCAGTCTCGAACCCAATATTTTTAGATCAAACGATACCAATTTGTCAACACCTCTTGCGCTAATTGCACGGGAGCAATGCAAGCAGTATCATCTATGTAACCGTTTGCGACACACTGTTAAGTTCCACCACCACATCCGATAAAAGACAGGAAACGAACTGATTAATTGCAAAACCGTTTCCAGAAACCGAACACAACACTGGAAATTCCTGCCCTTCTCTTATTATTTCCCGTTCGCTACGACACTCGCAGCAGCAACCCACGCGACGAACGATTTCATCCAAGAAGGGATGTTCAATCCAGGAGATCTTGCACTTGCAACGCAGAAGAATAAAAGAAACAAAGCGCTCTTTTCGGAGAGCGCGATCGCAGCGTATTCCAGTAGCTCCAAATCCACACTAAAGTTTCAAACTTAGACGGGAGGAAGTCGGTTCTTCCTGTGTCCCGATATAATATTCTAAAATACATAAAAATAGGCGCACATATGTACACTCACTCACTCACACACCCATGTGTGTATATATATATATATACCGAGTGGCTCCGCTACAATTTTATAATTACACGTGCGTCTTGTCTTCTCAGTGCGTGCGCGTAGACGCATTGTACATTTACAAATAACTCCTACTACTACTCCTCCTCCCTCTTCTTCACCACCAAAGACGTCTCCTCTTCTTTGTAAACACGACCAACCAACAAAGTACACGCCTATGGTGAAGAAGATGAAGAAGAATGAGACGCATGCAATCTCCACGCGCGTTTTGTTAATTAAAACAAACCCGTGGAGGAAGAGAGAGAACGATCGTGGGAACGGAGCAGATGGATGGTGCCCAAGAAGAAGCCAAACGCATCGAAGAGGAACAACCAGATAACAGGAACTCATTGTTACCTCAGATATTAATTGATACGTACGCGGAGGAGTCAACGTTCCATACGTAACAACAAAACAATTAATAAATCACTCTGTATAATAAAATGTAATAGAAGAACAAACACAGACATTCAGTAAATGTAAATTACGTTATCTCAATACGATTCATTCATGCATTTGTCACGTATCCAAAATTGTTGATCACATTATTCACGCAAAACCATAAAGAAAATTGATTACATGAAACATGACCATCCAATTCCAACGAAGAGAAACCAAATATTTGCAGATGGAAATTGTTGTTAGCAATATCATGATAAAAATATGTGAATACATTCATCATTTCCGCAAGATAAATTTAAAAAAAAATAAAAAAGAGATACAAATATTTGCGATTACATTTACGAAAGTTTATAATGTATAAAGCATGTTGTGAGTAAACATGAGAATAAAAAAATAATGCCCAAATTCTTCGCAGCTATCTTATATAAACATATTGCAAATGCCGTGAAAGGAGAAAGAGATACGTAATATTTACAACATCTTCACAATGGATTCGTGTGTAAAAGTTATCGCAAGTTGCACCCTCAAAAACGATGATTACCATATCTGGCTGGCATAAGTCTGCAGGATACAAACTTATCTCGTTTTTTTTTTTCTTAGTAAAGACGTCATTATAAAAGTTTTACGTAACTTTGCAAAGAGATGTATGCAAATTGTAAATAGAAAGAAATAAACAATATACACATTAATTCCATAAAAATTGTTATGAAAGCAACATTTCCTGTTATAAGGAGGAGATAATTTAGAGGATTCGTTTATTACAGTGTGTAAACTTGATGACCCAAAGTAAGTTTTATGATGGGTTGGTGAAGAAACCGATTTCGAATAATTCAAAGACTCCGCGGCGCAACTTCAAAAAAAACCGATCCGTCGTCGTAACTGCTGTGGGTCTCTGACGTTGCATCGAATATTAAGGAACCATTGTTGCTTAGAACATGTGCATATTTAAAATTCACCTCATCGAACATCAGATTAGGTTCACATAATTCATAGGAAAAGAAAGATTATACAATCCCATTGAAAAGACATCTCTCATCGCAGAAAGAAACCTCTTTCGTTGAACGACAAAAAAATGGGGGCCGAAAGGATTTACCTGTATCATTGCGGAAAAAAAGGTGAAAATGACGGGGGTGGCTATGACCCGTCGTCGCCTGTTTGTCTCAGGTCACCTAGCAACGTAACGTGTTGAACTTATTCCGCGACCTCTGACCTTTGACGACGGCGGCGGCGCTGCTTTCAAACGCGCCGAGCATTATGAAAGAGGACAAAACAATAAAACGAAATAATAATATGCACTCAAACACGCAGAAAAAGAATAAGCAAAGATCGCGATGTAAAATTATATAATATATATATATATATGAACATTTCGAGCAGGAAATGCACAATTACACAATGGATGGCGTTTCCCATTTGCCTACGTCAATGTCAGTTCCATTGAATCCATTAAGAAGAAAGGCTAGTTAATATTTTCGATGTTCGTCCACTTCGCGAATTTGACGAACGATCGTGGATAACAATAAAGCATTGTCTTCGACAGATGAGTAATGACGCTTATATGCAAAGATTCTTCGCCGGAAGTCTTCCTTTCTTTCAATCCTCCTCGGATCAGTCAAAGAAGCGAGATTTGTTGGAAGCGGCTACCGCATTAATTGGAGCGAATCAACAAACCTTCCCATCGAAAAGATATGCAGATGTTAGTCAGGAATCCCCAAATATTTAAACTCCACACATAAACCAATCTCAGGAAAGAAACTCTTCCGCAATAATTGCATGCAAATAAACATCGTTTATTTATTTACCTTGTTAAATGAAAAGCGAAGATTACTCTGAAATAAATGTTCAATTTGCGACACGTTTTCAGGTCAGGTATATAAATTTCGCGCTTTCAGGACTTTCTAAACGGATGATAATCATAACCGAAAGGAGGAACATCGTGTATTTTATTTGATTTTATTTTCGGGCACCCAACGCGTACGTGACTTACGAAATTCCTGGCCTTATTAAAATGCTAATGCTAAACGGCATGTATATGAATAATCAATGGACGTAAAGTAATGTGACCAGTGTTTTCATCGGCTCAAGGTTATTTCTTCCACGTTTAGAAGAAAATCCATTCATTGTTGTCGATCTTGCAGAAAGAAAATGGCATTTCCCTTCGCTTTTAGTGTATCCGACATAAGGGGGGGAAAAAATCTCTCGTCGGTAATCCAATACAAGCCTTTCACCGTGCAGAAAGGAAAGGCGGTGGAAGATAAAAAGGAAAGAGCGAAGGATACGTATATAAAGAGGAGAAGATTATCCGCGGAGAAAATACGGGATTATATTTTAGTTATCCTTTGCGATCGTAAAGTTCAAACACACATATAACAGAGGTGTTTCTTTCTCTTTGATGATGAGGAGGAGCACCGTTAAGTCTGTGGGCTTAGTAGCTCTTTGCGCAAGACCATTTCGTTTAATGAGCCATTAATAATCAATCCCATCTGTTTGGGATTCAATATGCAACAGAATATCTCTTTCACTAGGAAATTTAAAGCTGTCGCGTATTTGCGACGCACGAGGAACACAACAGTTGGAAGAATGACGATGGAAATTCTGTAACGTTGGATTCGATTGTTGTGGAGTGGAGAGAAGTGACTCGGGGCGATGAAAAGCGAGGCACACTTCGAGGTGAAAAGTCGTGGATAGAAAGTGGGTTTTCGGGTGAAATTGCGCCGTACGTATGTTCGAATCCAATTGGAAACGTTGAACAACGACGACGATGAGCAACAAGCAGGCGAACGCCAGCAAGCATAAACAATTCACGCGATGGAAATTATTCCTCTCTCGGATGGATCGGCGCGAAGAATATTAACACGGATTCCGTTAGATTCTTCGAGCGAGAGAGGATCGCCTTTAAAAGGCGACGAGATTGCCTGCCTTTCGCATCAATTATAAACCATTAATTATATATAATAGAAAAACTAATCGTACACGTCTCGATACAACATTCCACATTTTCTTTGCATACTAAATAGCAAGATTCGCAAAAAAACAACATTTATCAATAAGAATATATACTTTCATTGGCAATTTGCACAATGATGTAATGTATTTAAATGAAATTACGTATAGAAAACTGTAGAAACAAGATAAAACTTTATATTAATTAAATTGTATATTCTTATTTTATAAATTTCAATTAACCATCAAGTGTAACAATTGTTTTGTTGATGAATTGAAGTCCTTGCAAATTCACTTTAGCAATAATTTATGTTAAATACGTGCGTTCCATTTCAAACGCTCGTATGTATAGACTGCGATTGTTTAGCCTCCTAGATGCAATTGCACACAAGGATTTCGGGCGTTTAAACAAAACGAGTCGTAGTAGTCATGTTAAATATATAATATTAAATAAGTGTGAATACTTACGACGATCATCTCAGACGCCTCGAGGACGAAACACTCGTTCTGTCGCCGTGCACTTCCTCCAGTCCTCTTTCCGAAACTGCAACAAAGGGAACACGATAATGACGATGACTGGATTTATTATCTGATAACCTGTTGGTAAATATCATTTTGCAAATCGTTATCGCTCTCGTTTGATTGCATAGGCATTGTCATTATTATTATTATTGTATAGATTCGATTTTGATGCGGAGATAAATCCGAAACGGGAATAAACTCGGAGGTGGTCAAAGTATAAATAAACCGAGAGATCGAGCAATGTTATCTGTGCCTTAAGCGGACTGAAGAAGAGGAGAGAAGCGGAGAGAGAGGCCATGTGCTCGTAATGAGTTATAAATAAAACCGCGCGTTAACTCCACTTCCTGGCTTCCGTTCCGGGAACGCACTTTATGAATGAAGGCTCCGGTTTTCGGGTGAAACGGATAACCGATTGTCCGAAACGGTTGTCGAGAAAGAGAGTTTGAATCACCAACACGCGTCGCGCATCCGGTGGTTGCGGTCGTCGTCGTCGTCGAGAAGATGTGCCTTATGCGCTATTATCCTTGTATGCGACCTACATATGCACTGCAGGAGGACAGCAAAGTATCGGTTACCGCCGAAGATGATGACGCTCGTTGTTTTCACAAGTGCTCCTTCCGGTCGCCGCTTGCGTCATCCCAACCGGATCCAGGGTTTATCGCCGACGATCTGGATCTCTTCTCGCGGAAGATGAAACAACGAAAAAAAGAAAACCCTCAGCGCCTTTGTGAAACCGTTCTCGTATCTCGAATCCCACGGAATTGCGTGTCGTAACTTCAGGGATTGGCCGG